CTTGGAGGGGGGGCACTGCCACTCCCGCCTGCCCCCCCACCCATCACCTAAGGCAGGTGATGTCCAACATACGGCCCACAGACTGCCATGTGCCCCACCAAGCCGCTTTCTGAGACCCGAGGTACTGCAACAGGAAATGAAAGTAAACACTGTATTTTCATTTTCGGGGGGGTGATGTGATACCGCTTCCTGTGAGGACTTTGAATATGGCTTGCCAGCCCACTGGGTGATAAAAAGTTCATGATCCAGCCCCACATTCAAAAAGGTTGGACACCCCTGACCTAAGCGGTGAATGTGACCAGTCGGGGGGTGCACATACACCCCTGTGTACTGTCTATGCATCGTCACTGGCAGTCACCATGAGATGACTAAGCTCAGGATCCTGAGGAGAGGAAGAATGGAGAGCAGCAGAGTAAGGACCCTGGACTTCAGAAAAGCAGATTTTAACTCACTCAGGGAACTCATGGGAAGGACCCCCGGGGAAGCCAGTCTGAGGGGGAGAAGAGTCCAGCAGAGGTGGCTGTACTTTAAAGAAGCCTTACTAATTGTGCAGGAACAAACCATCCCTATGTGCAGGAAGACTAGCAAGTATGGCAGAAGACAAGCTTGACTTAGCAGGGAACTCTTTAGTAAACTAAATCACAAAAAGGAAGCTTATAAGAAGTGGAAAGTTGGACAAATAACTAGGGAAGAATATAAGAGCATTGCTCGGGCATACAGGGATGAAGTCAGGATGGACAAAGTGCAATTGGAGTTGTAGCTAGCAAGGGATGTGAAGGGTAACAAGCAAGGTTTCTACAAGTATGTTGGTAGCAAGAGGAGGAGCAGGAAAAGTGTGGGTCTCTTACTGAATGGGGGAGCCAACTTGGTGAAGGGGATGCAGAAAAGGCTGAATTGCTCAATGCCTATTTCACCTTAGTCTTTACAGGCAAGGTCACCTCCCAGACCACTTCACTGGGCAGCACAGTTTGTGGGGGAGACAAAGAGCCAAAAGTGGCAAAAGAACAGGTTAGGGACTATTTAGAAAAGCTGGACATATACAAGTCCATGAGAGTGGATGGGATGCACCAGAGGGTGCTGAGGGAGTTGGCTGTTGTGATTGCAGAGCCACTGGCCATCATCTTTGAAAACTCAAGGCAATCAGGAGAGGTCCCAGATGATTGGAAAAGAGCAAATATAGTGCCCATATTAAAGAAAGGAAGGAAGGAGGATCCAGGGAACTACAGACCAGTCAGCCTCACCTCAGTCCCTGGAAAAATCATGGAGCAGATCCTCAAGGAATCCATCTCAAAGCACTTGGAGAAGAAGGGGATTAGAAACAGTTAGCATGGATTTACCAGGGGCAAGTCATACCTGACCAACCTGATTTCCTTCTATGTCAAGGTGACTGGCTCTGTGAATGTGGGGAGACCAGTGGGTGTGTTATACCTTGATTTTAGCCAGGCTTTTGATACAATCTCCCACAATATTCTCTGAGGCAAGCTAAGGAAGTATGGGCTGGATGAAGGTGGATAGACAACTGGCTGGAGCATCAGGGTCAGAGGGTAGTAATTAATCAGCGGCTCAATGTCTAGTTGGCAGCCAGTATCAAGTGGAGTGCCACCGGGGTTGGCCCTGGAGCCAGTTGTGTTCAGTGTCTTCATCAACGACCTGGAAGAAGGCATAGACTGCACCTTCAGCAAGTTTGCAGATGACACCAAGCTGTGGGGAGTAGTAGATATGGTGGAAGGTAGGGCTAGGTTTCAGTGTGATCTAGACAAATTGGAGGAATGGACCAAAAGAAATATCATGAGGTTCAACAAGGACAAGTGTAAAGTCCTGCACTTAGGATGGAACAATCCCATGCACCAGTACAGGCTGGGGGCTGCCTGGCTGAGCAGAAGCTCAGCAGAAACAGAAAAGGACCTTGGGGTTACAGTGAACAATAAGCTGAATATGAGCCAGCAGTGTGCCCTTGTTACCGAGAAGACTAACAGCGTACTAGGCTGCACTGGTAGGTGTGTTGCCAGTAGGTCCAGGGAAGTGATTCTTCCCCTCTATTCAGCACTGGTGAGGCCACATCTGGAGTACTGCGTTCAGTTTTGGGGGCCCCACTATAGAAAGGACGTGAACATATTGGAGAGAGTCCAGTGGAGGGCAACAAAAATGGTGAGGGAGCTGGGGGTCATGACTTCTGAGCAGAGGCTGAGGGAACTGGGCTTATTTAGTCTAGAGAAGAGAAGACTAAGGGGTATTTAATGCAGCCTTCAACTACCTGAAGGGTGGTTCAAAAGAGGATGGAGCTAGACTGGTCTCAGTGGTGGCAGATGACAGAACAAGGACAACAGTCTCAGGTTGCAGCAAGGGAATTTTAGATTAGATATTAAGAAGCATTTTCTCACTAGGAGGGTAGTACAACACTGAAACAGGTTACCCAGAGAGGTGGTGGAAGCTCCATCCTTGGAGATTTTCAAAACCCAGATAGACAAAGCTTTGGCTGGGATGATCTAGTTGATCTAGTTGGGTACTGTCTGCTTTGAGTTGGACTAGATGACCTCTTGAGGTCCCTTCCAACCCTAACTTTCTATAATTCTATGAATATGATCGACTGTGGGCACTTCTACACATGATGCTACACTACCATAGCAATGCGTTATGGCAGTGGCAACGTAGTGTCAATGGATGTCTACATGTGACCAACAGCTACTTTGCTGTAGCACTGCGCTCCCTTGGTATAGCATGCCACTGTAGCGAAGTAGTGCTAAAAATAACCATGCGCTGCACGTACAGCGCATTATAGGCTGTCACTGTGCCATGATTTAGTACTTCCAAAAGGTGCAGTAACAATGTTGCCATAGCAACACATGTAGACACGCATTTTATTCTATTATGTAGGAGGAGTAAGAGTTTTGCACTTCTTTAACTTTTACTATTTGTAATACTATTTATGTTCTTATAGGATGTTCCATATTGTAACAGACCACTAGTTCAGGTACTCAAAAATCCTGCTTTCAAGAGTGGCTAATACTAGTTGTTTAAAAAAAAGTCAAACTCCCCATAGGACGCATCTACACGTCCCCCTGCATCACCATAGTGATGCGGTACATTGCTATACAACACACTTCAGTGATGTAGCAATCACGTGAGTTTACAGGTGACTGGCAGCTACTTTGCCGTAGCAGTGTGCTACCTCATTTTAGTGCACTGCTATGGCAAAGTAGCGGCTAAAACTAACCATGCACTGCGATCATGGCGCAGTACGGGTGGTTACTGCGCCATGCTTTAGTACTTCCAAAGGAAGTATATAACATTGTCACCATAGGGTGAGATGTGCCTATAATGTATTGAGCTGTGTAATACTGTATTGCTATTGAGAGGGAGAAGTTACCTGCTTTGCCATGGATTTCAGTTATAACCTTAAATAAATTAATTCACTTCTACATGCTTGAAAAATTGGGAATTAATTTGCTTCCCTTCTTTACATGGGACTTTATTCACTGGTATCTGTAAAGTGCCTTGAGATCCTAAATGAAAATAAAGTATCAGGGTATGCTTTGAAATACAATGAATGATTTCCCTATGCTGACTAATACAGCTAGAGATGCTATGCTTACATTGTTTTACTGTTTAAGACATTGACAGCTTTTTATTAGCCATATGTGGTTTTAATAGATTTTGACAGAGAAGGGCCCCTCTAAAACCAGATAATGAGAGACAGATTTTGCCTCCTCAGGAGTCAGAACTATCACTACAATAAGAATACATTTCTACTTTAGTAAAGCATATGTCATGACCAGTCAAAACTAATAAGTTATGGAACTTTATGTCATTCTAAAAACATATCAAAGGAGAGAAGAAAGCTCTTTTGGGAACAAAAACTAAATGTTTTCTTTTCTAAATTGGAGAAATTAATGACTCACTTGAAGAGAAGTAACTGATAATACATTCTGCACTGTTTAGTCTGTTCTGAAGGATAGAAGAGGTTTTATCTTTCTGCAGAGGACTTTCCTATTAAATAAATTAAACAAAAAAGGGAAAAAATGCCTAGAGAACATTGTATTTGGGCCTCAAATCAAAGATTCTGGACAAAGGTTAAGACTAAGCTGTGCGAAGTTTCTCCAGGTGTTTCATTTTGAAGCTGTTTTGATGTGTTTGGGGCTTGAAATAGGTGCTGCCTCTGGCCCCAGTCAGCAACAGCAGCCTCCTGTCATCCAGCAGGCAGCTGCCCAGATTCAAATTCAATAATTTGAATTATTTTAAAATCAGAAGTGTCTGGCAAAATTCTTCTTATGGTGCTGAAGGAATTAGCTGAAAAATCACAGAGCCATTGGCCATAATATGTGCCAGGACATGGATGAAAGGGGAGGTCCCACAGGACTGGAGAAGGGCTAACAGTGTCCATCTTCAAATAAGAGAAAAAGGGGACCCAGGGAATCTTCAACCAGCCTATATTCAATACCTGAGAGGTAACCAGCACAAATGATAAAACAGCCAGTTTGTAAACATCTGAAGAAGACACTAGCAGCTAACATAATTTGTTATGAAAAGTTCATGCCAAAATAACTTGATATTCTTCTTTGACAGAGTAACCAGTTTGGTGGATGAGGAGAACACAGTGGAAATAATATGCCTGCACTCGTAGTAAGACTTCTATCAAATCTATCTACTCTGTCAAAACTGTAGTTAAGAGTCTCTCAAATGTGCAACTGCACTCTGGACTGGTCTCTTAGTCAAACAAAATGGGTTGCTGTCGGACTCTCATTGCTGAGCTACAAACACAGCAGCACAAGGGGCCTTGAACTATCCTTTATTCTGCTATCGGGACTATCAGACCTTCCACAGCCGGCTTGCAGAATGTTTTCAGAACACAGTGCATGGCGGGGGCCACCGACCGTCTGTTTACAAAGTGTTATATTAAAAAGAAAAACACTATGTACTTCCTAGCTCTTCCTCTTCTTGACACTCCACAGTCACTATTGGTGTATATTAGATCCTTAGGTTTATTGTTGAACTAAAGGTCATCTTAGGAGTTGTGGCCATTAATCCTTTCACAAAACAGTGCAGTTAAAAGAAGCAGTTTAGAGGTCTAGACTTGCAACCTCCAGCTAAGAATAGAGCCTGACAAACTATTCAAGAAGAAATCTTTTGTTTGGCATCAAGGTTCTACTTCTAGGATAAATACTGGGACACAGGCAAGTCACGGCAAAGACCTTCACTTCCAGTGATCTCTACGACTGTGAGGAAGGATTGAATGATGTGGCTTCCAGCATTTGGAATTACATCTCAATAGACAGAAGACGAAAGACTGAAGATCAAACATCTAATCATAAATCCATATTAACCTATGTGATCTGAATTACTTTGCAAAAAAATGGGTCTGAATGTACCTGGGTTGGTAGGTTTGAGTGTGTTTTATGCCATAACTTTAGCCACTGGAATCTGGGCTTCTTTGAGAAGCAAAAGAGATAAGAAAAATAGGAGCACAAGTGAAATGGCCATGGTGGGAGACAGGAACATGAATTTTTTGCTTGGATTGTTCACTGCAACTGGTAAGTGTTCTTAAAATAAATTCTTTTAGTTTTTTCCCCCCATTTTTAAAATGCTCATGCTGTTGTTTGCTTTCTAATCCAAGAACTAATTTTAACTAAGATAAAGAGTTAAAGTTTTATTAATCGGCATTTACACGTGTAGTAGTTCAGACTAGGGTTGGCAAGCCAGTCAATTGACTGGTCAAATATTGTCAATTGACCAGTCAATTGTCTGCATGTTTTTTGACTAGTCAATGATTATAGCAACTTTACAAAAAAACTACATTTTTGTAGTTTTCTTGATAGAAATATGATTTTTAATTTTTAATGCATTTTAAGGGAAAATTTGTGCTTTTTCTGTGTATGATTTGGACCTATTGGCAAATTTTTACCTATATTTGACCAGTCAATTGACCAAGCTTTATGTGATTAGTCAAATACCCAACCCTCAAGATTCTATGCAGTTTAACACCTTCCATAGTCCACTGGAAAATAAAGGGACTCCCAAAGTTGTACAGCACTTTGCATTAAGCTAGTATGTGGTCTTAATTTAAAACTAAATTCTCCTACCCAGGTTGTAAGCAGTTCCATACTCCTGGAGCTGTCTCATTATGTATGAGGTGGTATTCAGCCTGAGTAAGAGTATTAAAACTTTGCATGAATAGGTTCAAGAAAGAGAGCATTTCCTCATGGATGTCTTCTGTACTTTCTCATTATTAGAGACTTATCCTTCTTTCTTGTCCTTTGGAGAATGCTGCCCCATGTTACATGCCCAGAAGTGTATTTGGTTGCCTTAATAATATGGCAGGGCTGAAGATTCATGTGTTGGAAGGCAGTGTTTGTCTCTGCTGTTTGTGGGGTTTCCTTTCTTAATTATAATTATTACTGTAAAGGGAATCGATACATAAGTATTCTATTGTATAAGTTATTCAAGTAGAATAAATGTAATGCTTTTACTGTATGCTCTCACCTGTGTCAAGTAGCAATAAAAAGAAAGGTATACAAATTCTCTCTAAAAATGTAAACATTAATGTTTCTTTAATGCAAACCTAGCTATCCACTATGGAGTATAATTGCCAGATTCCAATGCCCTTACTCACACTGGATAGCATTTCTTACTCCAAGAGTAGTATTGTGGAAGTAAATGCGACCGTGAAAAAATATTTGTGTGTGAATAAAATGTTCTCAATACAGCCCAGGGTTTCTAGCACGTTTTAGGGTGGCTAGTAGGAAATATGCGGCATAGCTCTCTTTTCTAACTTTCTCCTCTAATTCTTTTCTTGCAGCCACCTGGGTTGGTGGAGCGTATATCAATGGTACAGCTGAAATTGTCTATCTACCCACAAGAGGACTATTGTGGGTCCAGGCACCTGTAGGATTTGCTTTGTCCCTTGTTATTGGTAAAAAGTATTTCAGAAACCCATTGTTTAAAAATCCAGTGCTGCTAATCTAAAGTAGTTTAATGAACCCCAGGTAACTGTCAAAGATTAAGGGCTGTTACATGATTCTCCATGGACTGTACATGCCAGAACAGTCAGAGAACTGCCTGTGTAGAACAATCTGTACCTTTCACGTGATGGTCTATGGGAATATTATTCTTATGATTACATGAGGGTTCAGATGAAGGTGCTCCAAAGCAGAGCACCTTCATGAACATCTGTCAGCGCATGCTGGGTGCAGGGCTGGGCTGATGCAGACTCTATAGCAGCAGGCAGGGCAGAGCGGCACCTGAGATACTAACTGGTTCATAGAAGTATGATTCTTTGTAAGTGATTGTGTACTTCAGCGGATGCTCTGCATGGACTTGGAAAAAGGATTTTAAATAAAAAGGAATTTAAATACAAAGGAAAAAGCCTGGGAGAGGGGGCACTGGTGATGGAGACAAAAGAAAAGTTGAAAAGTTATATAAGATGTCTCAAAGGAACACACTGAGGTTCAGACCTTCAATCTGGCCAGAGTCCTTGGGACGCAAGACTCTGCAACCCCACTGCTCTAGACCCTGAAACCAGTGATGAGACTTTCTCACATTCCCCTGTCGGTGACACACATGCAAAGTCACTTCTGTGCATACTCTGGCTTTGACTCACTGACCAGCTTCAGAGCTGCTGTCACACAGTTAAACATCTTGGCCTCCCCCAGTTTGGAGGCATTCTAGGAAAACCAATTTTGCTGAGCTTGTCCACTCCTTAGCAAACTCTGACAAGCACTTTTGATGACTTTTGTGTTAGCCTCTTCAGGGAGATGTCTGGCATTATAATAAGCAGGGTTAGGGTGTACCTGGCTGGCATCAAATTGTACCCTTCTCTCGACATTGTTATTACCAATCTGTCACAACTGCTATTATAATGCCAAACTAATATAAAACTAAAGTAATAAGTAGGGGACCAGTACCTTCTGTGGGCCAATTTTCCAGGAGGATGCAATAGGGAAAAGATTGAGACAAAAAAGAACGGGGCGCGCACTAGGAAATATCTGGTGAAGAGTATGAAGAGCATGATCCACTGACATCAGTGGGTAGGTTCCCCCTGACTCCAGTATGAATCAGGCGGGAAAATCTGTGAGATTGCAACCCTTCTTCATATGAGTAATCCTTTTCATATGCGATGCCCCAATCACTGTGGGACCAATCTTGTAGCTTTTAGCAGTCATTCTCAGACAGGCCATTCTGTTGGCTTCAGGATTAGGCACTAGATGCATTCACAGTTGTAATGGAGCTCCCTGTGTGAGCCAGGCTTGCTCAGGTGAGAAAGGAATTTAGGACTTACCTCACATTATGAAGGGTGGATGTCAAAAAGAAAATGATAATCCTGGTTAGAGAAAATGGAGTTGTAGGCTTTATACACATACCTGAAAGTAGTATGGTATTTACCTTGGTAGGCTGTATGGTATTCAGCATTTACAAAATGAAAGATAAACGTATTGCCTTATTATGGCCAAAGCATATTTTTTAAGATAATGAAAGACCCATAAGAGGGTGGTTTAATTCACCTGAAAATGCTGGTTATAGATTACATTTTAACAACTGGGTAAGAAACGCTGTTTCATATATTATAGAGATGACAGCCTGGCTGACATTGTAATGAGAAAACATTAGCAGAATGATATGGTTTGACTAGCAAATGCTGACTAGGGTTTGGCCTTAATCCAGATGCCATTTAGACAAGAGGGTTGCACTGATCCTTTACCTCAGGAGATGATACACACAACATACAATGACAATATTGTCTTTTTCAATAGGTGGTCTCTTCTTTGTAAAGCCAATGAGATCCAGAAATTATGTGACAATGATGGACCCTCTCCAAGAAACATATGGGAACATGATTGGCAGCCTTCTCTTTATTCCATCATTGATAGGAGATATATTCTGGTTTGCAGCTATTCTTGCTTCCTTAGGTAAATATATTTGCTCTGCTGTTGTGTTTAATTACAAAACTAGTAAGCAATAGACAAATAGGGAGCAGGAGATAGGCATGGAAAATATCCTTTGAATTAAGTATAGAGAGTTGCACTTCATACTGCTTTTGCAGGCTGTTTGTTTATCCTTCATTTGGGAAAATATGGTGTTTATTTCTTTTTCCCATCTCCTGAAGATTTTAAACAAAATTGATAGAAACTAATGAACCCTTATAGGAAAAAATGCATACTTTTATAGTTATGCTTTACTTACAATTTAGTATTATGTACATATTGCAGATAGGTAAAGTAAAATATAAAAAGTAAAGTGACTTGGACAAGATCATGTTAAGTTAGTGGCAGACCAAAAAATAGATCTCAGTAATTTTTGGCTTCTAGCTCTGTATGCTAACTACTAAACTAGTGTAATACTTGTATCATTTAACTACTTTTTTTGCTCAATGTGATATTGGTCTATTATAGTAATTCAAAACTATCTTTGTCTAAAGGAGCAACAATGCAAGTCATTCTGGGCATCAGAAGCTATCTGTCTATCATTATTTCAGCATCTGCTGTTATACTCTATACTTTACTGGGAGGCCTATACTCAGTTGCATACACAGATGTGGTACAGCTGCTTTTTCTTATGCTCAGTTTGGTAAGTCCTGCATACTTCTCTTATCAGTCTTCTTATGATATGCAACTATGTATGAGGGACAAAATTCTGCTCATATTTTCACCAGTCAGTCCACAGTAACTCTAGGGATATTGGCCCCAGACCCCAGTTTAGTTGTTCATCTGTTGTTTATACAGGGTGCATCTACACAAGACACTTTACTGCAAAACAGCATAGCTTACTGAGCAGTAAGCATGTGTGTCTACATGTTCACATGCTTACTGCGCAGTAAACCTCACTAATTGTGAGGAAATTTTCTGCCTGCAAATGAAAGTAGCGAATTTACTTGCAATTATTAACTGTGCAGTAGTGCTCATGTAGACACCCAACCAGGAGCAAATCTTCTCCCAGTTAACTGGCCACCAGGGAGCAGAAGATTGCTCCTTCCCCTGGAAGCTGCCTGCTGCTGGTACAGGCTCGACCACCAGAGCCTGGGTGGGGGCTATGTTCACCTGCCCTGGCAGCAGAGATCTCTAGGCCCCCATGCTCTCAGACTGTGATTGGGGAGTAGGGATTGGGAGATCCTTATCTCCTAGGGCTGGCTCTCGGGTCACAAGGCTAGTGCTGGTAAAATCAGCCCCACGAAGGTGGAGCTGGCACTGGGACCTCCCTGTTTGTGGGGGCTGGGGAGCTTGTTCCCCACCTACCCAGCTCCACAGTCACGGAGCTGAGTGGGGAACAAACTCTCCAGCCCCTACCCCGCAATTGTGGAGTGGGGACTAGGAACTATTGTGGTCAGAGGCAGGTCCCAGCTCCTCACCCCCATCAGGCAATTGAGGCGTGGGGCTTGGAAAGAGCTGAAGGGGTGGGGCAGGTTACAGCCCCCTGCCCCAATCCACCAGTGGGGCAGCTAGTAGCAAACCACTGGCTGGGTGGGGAATCCCCACTGATCTGGGTTGGACCGGGCTAGCAGAGAGCACCAGGGATCAGCTGGCCAGTCCAGGGCTGCTCCCCCTGGCCCGGCGTGCTGTGGAGGGGCTGGCTGGGGCACAAGGGTGCTTCAAGACAGGGCTAGCCAGGAGGTAGCCCCCACTCTGAAACACCCTCATGCCCCAACCAACTGTGTCAGCATCTATACATGTGCTGCTGCAAAGTTTTATTTTAAATACAAGGACTATACAAGTTTTTAAAATACAATTACTAGCCTGGTACAGAGTAAATAAGTTTACTCCAGCCTAATACAGGTGCACATGTAGATGCCGAGACTTTTACTGCACAGCTAATTAGTCTACTGTGCAGTAAACAGCTCATGTAGATGCACCCTGTAAAATAGGGAAAATACTTTCTTCCTGGTGACTATTTTTGGTGGGCCATTTCTACTCCCCATTTGAAAAATTGAATAATTATTTTAAAATGTATAGCATTTTTTGCTGTAGGTCAGTGGTACTTAACCTCTAGCCTGAGGGCCAGATCCATCCTGTGGAGCCATGTCATCCATAAGTCTACTCTCCATGGGTCTGGAAATTTGGTGGTGTAGGAAGCAGTGGCAATTAATACTGTCACCACTCCCGTGCTACCAAAGTGCCAAGCCCTGCAGGCCAGACTACATAGCCCCGTGTGTGGAGCCAGGGTCATGAGTGCAATCTGCCATGGGGCCTAATTTGGCATGTGGGATTGGGGTTGGGGCTGAAGCCTGATCTGGTATGCAGGGCTGGGGTTACATCCTAGTTTGGCTGCACGCACTGGATCAGGCCCCAGCTGGGCTGGCCCTGCATATTGGACTAGACACTGGCCCTACATGCTGGATCAGGCCCCAGCCCCATGTGCTCAGTTGGGCCACAGATCAGATCTGGCCCATGGACCTACCCTGCAGTACTCATCCAGCCCATGGGCTTAAAAGGTTGGGCACTACTTGAAAATGGATTCATTAGAGGCAGGTCCTGTCAGACCAACCTGGTGGCCTTCTATGACCAGGTCACATAATCCTTGGATGCAGGTGTTGCGGTGGACGTAGTCTTTCTGGACTTTAGGAAGGCCTTCGACACTGTCTCTCACCCCTTTCTCATTAAAAAATTAGGAGATTGTGGTGTCAATGTCTACACAGTCAGATGGGTCACTAATTGGCTGGAGGGCCACACCCAGGAGACTGGTGGTGGATGGGTTGTTTTCGACCTGGAGGGATGTGGGCGGTGTGGTCCCCCAGGGCTTGGTCTTCGAGCCCGCACTGTTCAATGTCTTTATCAGTGACTAGGACGAGGGGGTGAAAAGCACCTTGTTCAGATTCGAGGATGACAGTAAGATGTGGGGAGAAGTGGGCATGCTAGAAGAGAGGGACAGGTTGCCACTAGATCTGGACAGGTTACAGGGGTGGGCGGATGAGAACAGGATGAGTTTCGATACTGACAAGTGCAAGGTGCTGCACGTGGGGAGGAAGAACCAGCAGCATACCTACTGGCTGGGGAACTCCCTTCCTGTCAGTGCCAAGGCAGAAAAGGATCTTGGAGTCATTATCGATTCCAAAATGAACATGGGCCGACAGTGTGGGGACGCGGTCAGGAAGGCTAACCGTACCTTGTTGTGCATCCACAGATGCATTACGAGCAGGGCCAAGGAGGTGATCCTCCCCCTCTATGCAACACTGGTCAGGCCACAGTTGGAGTACTGCGTCCAGTTCTAGGCACCGCACTTCAGGAGGGATGTGGCCAGCATTAAGAGGGTCCAGAGGAGGGCCACCTGCATGATCAGGAGGCAGCAAGGCAGGCACTACAAGCACAGGCTATGAGACCTGAACCTGTTCAGCCTCCACAAGAGAAGGCTGAGAGGGGATCTGGTGGCCATCTACAAACTGGCCAAGGGGGACCAGCAGGCAATGGGAGAGTCCCTGTTCCCCCGAGCAGTACCGGCAGTAACAAGGAATAACAGCCATAAATTGATTGAGAGTAGATTCAGGCTAGACATCAGGAGGCGCTACTTCACTGTCAGGGCAGCTAGGATCTGGAACCAACTTCCAAGGGAAGTGGTACTCGCTCCTACTCCGGGGGTCTTCAAAAGGAGGCTAGACAGCCACCTAGTTGGGGGTGTTTGACCACAGCATCCTTTCCTGCCCATGGCAGGGGGTCGGACTTGATGATCTGCTTAGGTCCCTTCCAACTCTACCATCTGAAACTATGAAAGTACTGCTGTAGACTAATGTACACATCACATACATAACAGATGAGAAGCATAATGAATTATACTGGACCAGCACGGAAAGATTTTGTGGGAAGAACACGTGTGAAAAAAGAAATTTGAATGAGGTTGGTAGAACTGTTTGAAAATAAAAGGAAAAGGAAGTGGTCTACAGGAATAAAAGGTGGTATGAAATGAAGACCAAAGCAGGAGAAGAAAACACAAGCATATGGATGTCCAGACAGGAGGTCTGGGTTGGTTTAGGTGGCATAAGTAGGTGAAAAGGAGGAAATTAAGAATGCAGACTCTGGAGAATTTTGCAGGCAAGGGTGCAGAGTGTGAGTTTGATAGAGGAGTGAGAAGGCGTGAATTCATTGTTTCCATTTTAATTCCAGTGGATCTGCATCCCATTTGCCCTGATACATTCTGCAACAGAAAGCATTTCTTATACTGCTACTCATTACTTCTACCAAGCCCCTTGGATAGGAAAAATAGAGAAAGAGTATCTTGGAAGGTGGCTGGATGACTTCTTATATCTGGTAAGAAATGTTCCTTGGGGGGCTGGGTGAGCTGGGTGAATGGTACAGTTGCTTACTCCAAAACCAGTCCTAAGAACAAGAGGTTCCTGTTGTTTACAGCACAGAAGGATTTTGATAAACTGATGGATACATTTTGATTATCAGGCAGATGGGAGAGGAAGCCAGACATTTTCTCCACACCAGGGTTGGCTCTGATACTCTGAACAGGGCCAGAAAAAGTAGAGTCATTCAGGATGCTCAGTTCTCTCCTTCATTTCAGCCATGTAAAGAAAAGCAGCTCATCAGCAGG